ACAATTTTCATATTGCAGTCTGTTTTTTTGCAGTTTTCTTGGATTCCAGTCCTAGTGCCTCCGGTGTGGTGGAGCTCCCCAATACAACACAAGGAAACTTCCTCATGTCCACTCTTTTTAGATAGGCTATGCTGATATGTACCCCAACACCAGCTGGCAGGGAAGGCTTTGCAAAGGGAAGTTGCAGTCTGAACACCCCCGGGGAGGAATGGGCTGCTGGCAGGAGCCTCACTGCCTGGAGCAAAGCCTTTCCTAGCTCACTCCAAGCATCTCTACATCCGGTACACAGGCCTTCCCAGGCGGCCCCAGGCCACAGAGTGCTGGGAAATGAATGCTCCCTAAAGTTCCAAGCTAAATTTAGACTTTCAAATGAGGCAAACTGTCTATCACATTCAAGAAGTTGGAGATACTGAGGCCTGCAGAGGGGAACATGCTGAAGGCAGCGCCTGACTCCAAGACGCCATCAAGCACAAGATAAACTGCATTTCCCAAGAACCACTACCAAGGAAATGTGACACACCAGTGCAAAATGCTTCCTAACTGGGGCCAGTGCTGTGCATAGCGGCAAAAGCCACTGCCTGCAGTGCTGGCATCCCACATGGGTGCCAGTTCGAGTCCCAGCCGCTCCACTTCCGATCCAGCTCTCTGCTATAGCCTGGGAAAGCAGCAGAAGATGGACCAAGTCCTTGGACCCCTGCACATGCACGAGAGACTGGGAGGAAGCTCTTGGCTCCTGGCTCCTGGCTTCAAATTGGTGCAGCTCCAGCTGTTGTGGCCATTTGGGGAGTGAACCAGGAGATGGAAGACCTCTGTGTCTCTCTCTCTGCCTCTCTGTAACTCTTTCAAATAAATAAATCTTAAAAAAAAGAATCATAACATTTTTTATAATACATATTATCCATGAGCTTTTTTAAAAAAAAGATTTATTTATTTGAAAGGCAGAGTTAGAGAGAGAGAGAGAGAGAGAGAGAGACAATCTTCCACCTGCTGGTTCACTGCTTTCCCAGGCCATAGCAGAGGGCTGGATCTGAAGTGGAGCAGCCAGGACTCAAACCGGCGCCCATATGGGATGCTGGCAGTATAGGCAGTGGCTTTACCCACTATATCACAGCGCTGGCCCACATCTTAACTTTTAAAATGCTAAAATGGGCTGGTGCTATGGCTCACTTGGCTAATCATCCACCTGCGGTGCCGGCACCCCGGATTCTAGTCCCGGTTGGGGCACCGGGTACTAGTCCTGGTTGTTCCTCTTCCAGTCCAGCTCTCTGCTGTGGCCCGGGAGGGCAGCGGAGGATGGCCCAAGTGCTTGGGTTCCTATACCCGCAAGAGAGACCGGGAGGAAGCACTCAGCTCCTGGCTTCGGATCAGCGCAGCGCCGGCCGTAGCGGCCATTAGGGGAGTGAACCAATGGAAGGAAGATATTTCTTTCTGTTTCTCTCTCACTGTCTATAACTCTGCCTGTCAAATAAAAAATAAAATAAAATAAAATGCTAACATGTGTGTGTCTGTGTATGTATGTGTATGCGCAGGGTGGCAATGCGGTAAGGTAAGCTGCTGCTTGATACAAGCATCCTATATTGGAATGCCGGTTCAAGTCCCAGCTGCTCTACTTCTGAGTCAACTTCCTGCTAACGTGCCTGGGAAGGAACCAGGAGATAGCCCAAGTACATGGCCCCTGCCGCTCACGTGGGAGACTAGCATGGAGTCCCTGCCTCCTGGCTTTGGCCTGGCCCACAGACCTAGCTGTTGTGGGCATTTGGGGAGTGAAACAGCAGATGGAAGATCAATCTCTCTCTCCTTCTGCCTTTCAAATAAATAAATAAATATTTTAAATGGGTGGGGAAAATCCATCTTACAATCAATAAAATACAGCATTACCCAGGTCAGCTTGATCCTAGCTCCCTGGTACAGGGCTTCTACTCACACCCTTAACAGCCATACTCTTCCCGAAATCAAATGATTATGAAAACATTTTGATCTGCCTTTACTTCACGGTAATGAGTGTGTATCTGTACACCAAATTCCTGTCAGTCTCCCGTCCTCATTTCTCTCCCATTCAATCAACATTCAGCAAACACTCACTCACTCAGAGAAATCATGTTTCAGGGCTGCCTGCGGGATGTGCAGCCTGCCCAGTGCTCACCACTCTGTTTACCCTTGGATTGAGCCACAGCTGCAGAGTGCAAAGTCCTGGAAACACAGCGGGTGACCCATTAGAAACAGCCCGAGCTGTTCCGAATCTGATGTCAGGGACACAGCACTGTGGCTTCACGAGGGCCCCAGGGAGACAATTTTCAGGTCTTCATCCCAGAATGTGTTTTTAAAATCAACTTTCAAAACTGAAGTATACATAAAAGTCACAACTCACGATGGTACAGCTGAAGGAACTAAGGCAAATGATAATCCACCCGAAGGAAAACCACTCGACAGTGCTGCGATCTCAGAGCCTCCTGCGGGACTTGTTCCCATCACTGCAACCCCCTCCTTCCCCAAAGACCACCCCTTTGTGAACTTCATACAAATACGATCATAGGGCGTGCATTCTGATTTGGCTTCCTTTGTGTATCAGTATGTCTGTGAAATTCACCCATGTTGTCATGAGTAGCAGAAGGTTACTTTCCACTGCTGGGTAGGAGTCCATTCTGTTTACAAAATCTCCATGGAAAGTGGCCTCAAAGGGGCCAGCGTTGTGGTACAGCAGTTAAAGCTGCTGCCTGTGACACCAGCATCCCATATGAGCGCTGGTTTGGGTCCAAGCTGCTCCACTTCCATACAGCTCTCTGCTAATGTGCCTGGGAAAGCATCAGAAGATGGCCCCTGTACTGGGGCCCCTGCACCCATGTCGACACCCGGATGGAGTTCCAGGCTCTTGGCTTCAACCTGGCCCAGTCCTGGCTGTCGTGGCCATTTAGGGAGTGAAACAGCAGATGAAAGACCTCTCTCTGTAACTCTGCCTTTCAAATAAATACATCTTAAAAATGTAATCCAAACAAAAGTTTGTTTTGGTGCAAAAAACTTGAAATTTTTGCATAGTTGTTCTGTAATACACATTTTCCAGGAAGTTTCTGAAGATCCTTCACACGTGCAACGTGTTCCCTTGGGTTGTTTGCACCTTGGGGTGCTTGTGAGCAATGCAGCCACGCTGCTGCACACACTGAGCCTTTCTGCAAGGTAAAACTTCAGAGTCAAACTGCTGGGTTACGGGTGCAGGTGCTCAGCTAAGCTGCCAGATGGCTCTCCCGAGAGAGGTGCCACCCAGAGGTCCACCCCAGGGACCCTTCATTCCCGCTGCTTCAACCACAGCTGCCTCTCAGTACCCAAGAAGATGAACACTTGGGGTGCTAACGCCAAAGCCCTCACATTTCCTGATCTCATCGGCACAAAACTAGGATTAAAAAAAAAAAAAAAAAGCCATGGTTGAAAATGGTCTCTGTGTTTCAGCCTCCCGATCTCTCAAGTAGCTCTGAAAAGTGAAACCAACTCGGCATCCAGGCCCGACCTCTGCAGGGGTAAAATGGGACAGAGGCTGCACTGTCCTAGTCCCAGGATCCACCACCACGTCCCAAGTGCCCAGTGAACATGCTGGACGTGCTTCCGGGCAGGAACTCTTCTGTGAGTTGAGTCTCGCGAGAAAGGCAGGTGTGGGAAAGTTGGCGCGAGGACCTGCTCCCACACGGTCAGCTGCACCTCCTGACATCTCCCGTCTCCCTCCTGCTACAGGGCCAGTGCCAGCTGTGCTCCACGTCTCCGCGTAGGACATTAGGACATATGCTTTGTATACAGGTTGAGTAGCCCTTATGTGAAATGCTTGGGGCCACAAGTGTCCCGAATATCAGATTTTTTTTAAATTTTGGAATATAAGATTCTTTATAAACTCATGGAGAACATAACCTAAAGAAAACGTGCATTTTCTATGAATTGAAGACCCCCTATATTGTGGACACATAATCAGATCTTTTGAGGATGGAATCTGCATCTAAATATGAAGTTCATTTATTTGCATTCATGCCTTACCCACTCAGCTGGAAGGCAATTGTATACACTATTTTTACGAATTTTATGCATAAAGTAAAGTTTACGTCCATTGAAGCATCAGAGGCCAAGTGTGGAATGTCCCATTTGTGGTGTTAGGTGGTGCTCAAAAAATGCTGGGGTTTGGCTTTCAGCCAAGAGATGCTCAGCCTGAATTACCTCTGTGGTCACTGCTGTGTCTCACTCTTGCTTTCCCTGCACTCCTGCTGCCTGATCCCCTCTGTAAGCAATGCAATCTGTTTCTGCAGGGTGTCTCAAGTCTTGTTCCCTGAAGAAAAATCAGTCATCTGTCTGGGTTGAGCCCCAAGGTTAACCTAGAAGGAGTTGCCCACTCACAAGTTCCTCCTACTACAGCTTTGTGTTGGTTTCACAAATCTGAAAAAGCACAATAGGAAAACAGAGGCATTCTTTTTATTTCCGGTTTTACACAAATTGTCCAAAAGGACTCCTGAGTGCGTTAGAGGAGGAAGGAACAACATGTTATTTGGAATAAAAAAATTACTGTAACACACTGTGCGGTATTCTAGGATAATCGGTTTCATTAATAGGGAACAATTAAAACCAGCCATAAAAATGTATATTTAAACATGTTATGAGTACAAATTAAAATTCACTCTCTTTTCCCTAGAGTGCAATTTGATTAAAAAGTGAAAACAGAAGCAAACAACAAAAATTTGCCACCTTATAAATAACCTGGAACAGGTCATTCAGGCATAAGAATATTAAAAAAATAAAAGAAAGAAAGTGAAGACTGGAATGTGTCGTGATGCTTCAGCCAAACCAAAAGGTCGGACCCACTCTGGCTCATACAGCAGTGCGACCAGGTTTACGACAGTGCGACCGGGTTTACGACTGTGAAGTCACCGAACCTTTTTCCTTACGTTGGCTCCTCGGTGATGCATCCTCTTGAGCTCCACCCACGACTGCCACAGTAACAGGCCTGGGATGAGAACCCACACACCATTAAAGAACACCAGATAGACCCAAAAGTAGAGCCAGTGGCTGGTGTTGAGGTTGGGGCTCCCAAGCAGCCAGTCTGGGAAGAAGGTCATCCAGCCGCCGTACAGCTCACACACGCACAGGGCGATCTGCACGAAGTGCCTGCGAGGGAGAAAGACGCAACGCGTGAGAGGCAAGCGCGCCGCCCGAGCAGTCACGCATCCTCCGCAAAGGCCTCGCCACAGAAAACCTCTCTGAAGCTGGAACTGGGGTAGCAGAAGTCAAGGAAAGCAAGACTAGGGGCCGGCACTGCGGCATAGTGAGAAGAGCCCCCGCCCGCAGTGCCAGCATCCCATGTGGGTGCCGGTTCGCGTCTCAGCTGCTCCTGTTCCGATCCAGCTCTCTGCTATGGCCTGGAAAAGCAGTAGAAGATGGTCCAAGTGCTTGGGCCCCTGCACCCGCATGGGAGACCTGGAAGAAGCTCCTGGCTCCTGGCTTTGGATTGGCACAGCTACGGCTGTTGCGGCCAAATGGGGAGTGAACCATCTGATGGAAGACCTCTCTCTCTCCCTCTCTCTCTCTCTCTCTCTGCCTCTCCTCTCAGTGTGTAACTCTGACTTTGAAATAAATAAATAAATAAATCTTAAAAAAAAAAAAAGTAATAACCTCTCCCTCAAGAGTCTTGTGAAGATTAAATTAGTTCTACAGATAACGGGCTGGACACTGAGCCCAGCACGCCGTGAGCACCCGATGCTGCCAACGCTGCAGATGTGTGAAACCACCAGAACAGGGGCACACAGAGTGAGTCTGCAGCCACACTCGGCGGTAGGGGTGGAGGATGCTGCCACAACCTGCTCTGGAAGCATGCCTTACTGATCTCACATGTCTAACTCAGTGATATAAGACAGTTGATTTTGTACAACGAGATAACAGGTGTTTCCAGAGTGATCTGGGGACGATGGATGGAAACAATACTCTTCCTGGCTTCCAAAATACTGGCGGCCACTCAGTCAACACAGGTGACACTGCTCCTGCCTCTACAGTGACCAGGGCAGGAAGAGTCACATTCATATATGTGTACATATAAAATTAGAGGAGAGGGAGAGAAAGCAAGGGAGAGAGGGAGAAAGCGCTCCTATCTACTGGTTCATTCCCAAATGCCCACAATAGCTAGGGCTGCGCCAGGCTGGAGCCAGCCGCCAGGAACTCAACCCAGGTCTCACACATGGGTGGCAGTAATAAATAAATAATAAGGATGAATAACAATACTCAAGTTATCACCTCGGAGTTCCAGGGTCTGCAATCTGCAGGCAGCTGGGATTCGGAGCTGGAAACGAATATCGAACCCAGGCACTCTGACACAGGACATGGGGATCTTTTTTTTTTTTTTTTTTTTTTTTAACAGGCAGAGTTAGACAGTGAAAGAGAGAGAGAAAGGTCTTCCTTTTGTTGGTTCACCCCTCTAATGGTCACTGCGGCCGGCATGCCACACTGATCTGAAGCCAGGAGCCAGGTGCTTCCTCCTGGTCTCCCATGCAGGTGCAGGGCCCAAGGACTTGGGATATCCTCCACTTGCACTCCCAGGCCACAGGAGAGAGCTGGACTGGAAGAGGAGCAACCAGGACAGAACCAGCGCTCCAACCGGGACTAGAACCCGGGGTGCCCGCGCTCCAGGGGGAGGATTAGCCAAGTGAGCCACGCCGCCAGCCTAGACATGGGAATCTCAACTGGCAATTTTACTGCTAGGCCAAATGTTTACTTTGTATTTTTCTTTGGTTTTGAGTGGTCCAAAATTACCCTGGTGGGTGGGCCAGCATTGTGGAGTGGCACATTTGCTCTGCTTCCAATCCAGCTCCCTGACAATGTGCCTGGAAAAGCAGTGGAAGATGACCCAAGTGTTTGGTCCCCTGCCACCCATGTGGGAGACCTGGATGGCGTTCCTGGCTCCTGGCTTCAGCCTGGCCCAGCCCTAGGCATTGCAGCCGTCTGGGGAGTGAACCAGCAGAAGGAAGAGCTCCTGTCTCTACCCCTCTCTAACTCTGCCTTTCAAAACACAACAACAAACAAAACAGCATTATCCTGGATGACCCTTCTTTAATATCAAACAATTTTAATTTCTCCTCTACTTCGTATCTAACAAATGGGGCACAACCTACTCCACATGTCACTTAGGCACTGGGCCAGCTCCTGTTTCCCCTCTCTTCGGCAGGATAGAGGGTACTTACCGATAATACTTCTCCCGGACTATGGCATAGATGAGGAGCAATGCCAGACCCCCATCCAGGACAACCGTCAGAATTTCCAAAGACACAATGGTTGGGTCAAAATAAAGCCATCTCTTATCAGCTTTGCCATATTCTTTCCCTACAGACGAGATAAATGTGTTACTCAAGGGCAATCATTTTTAAGACAGTTAATGGAAGCGATCTTTTCTCCTTTAAGGAGGAGATAGAATAATCGCCACTCTCTCTCCATTTTTCATCACCTTGGTGGAAGGTGACAGAGCCCTGGTAGACACACATTTCCCACCTGACACAAGTAAGAAGCAGTATCGGTACTATGGAATGTTTGCAAACTCATTCACAGTTTCCAAAGTCTTTCACACATGTGCCCCAGCCCTGCCCTTTTCATTAGCAGAATTCTAAGTGAATTCAACACAGTCAGACTTGGCAAAGACAATCTAGAAACATCATCTTGATAACTATATCACAATTCCTCCAAATTTCAATAGGCAGTCTGTAAGTAAAGCTGTGATTTGGGGAAACTGTGATTAAGGAAATGTTTATTTAAAAACATGTTGATTAACAATTGAAGAGACAATCATTAAGACACCCACAGCCCATGTCCGAGCACCTCTTTGTTCAATTTGACTCCAGTCTCTTGCTAATGCAGGCCCTGGGCGGTAGAGATACCGGCTCAAGTGTTCCTGGCACTCATGTGGGAGACGGGGATTGAGTTCTAGGTTCCTGGCTCTGGCCCTGGCCCTGGCCCAGCCCCAGCTGCTGTGGGCATTTGGGGAGTGAGCCAGCAGATCGGACTGCACTCCTTAGAGCTTGCTCTGAGTCTCAAATAAATAAATCAACAAAAAGATGTAAAAGAGTAGGTGAAGAGACAGTGAGGAGAGAGAGGGAGATAAAGCCTGGAGTTTAGAATGAACCTAACATGGACCGAGGGGGGCATTTCCACCTGCCGCAGGGACAGAGGGCTCAGCAACGGCCACCACACAAAGCCTCACTGGTGCTGAATGGGGAGCAAGCATGCCCCACACATTCTTTCCAGACCCATGATCAGAATGGTTCTTCTAGGGACCGGCGCTGTGGCGTAGCGAGTAAAGCCACCGCCTGCAGTGCTGGCATCCCTTATGGACGTCGGTTCAAGACCCGACTGCTCTACTTCCGATCCAGCTCTCTGCTATGGCCTGGGAAAGCAGCAGAAGATGGCCCAAGTCCTTGGGCCCCTGCACCTGTGTGGGAGACCTGGAAGAATCTCCTGTCTCCTGGCTTTGGATTGGCCCAACTTTGGCTGTTGCGTCCAACTGGGAGTGAACCAGTGGATGGAAGACCTCTCTCTCCTCTCTCTCCTGCCTTTCCTCCTCTCTCTGTGTGACTCTTTCAAATAAATAAAATAAATCTTAAAAAAAAAAAGGTTCTTCTAGAAAGTTCCATACATCAGAAAGTTGTTTTTAGAGATGGACAGGTGGCCTTGTACTGCAAAAGCCATTCTTTCATCTTCTGTACATAATGATCTTTTTAGCTTATGAAAGCGATACACACTGGCCCTAAGATCTCACGCTGAAAGTGGAAGCTGGGGTGGGGGAGACCATCCTCAGGTGATTCTGAGGCAGTACTGGTCGGAAAGGAGCTCTGGTCAGAGCGGACAGAGTGTGGACAGCTCTGTCCTCCTAATGGCCACAGGAAGGAACCCTTAGACCGGCAACAAGAATTCACTGCTCAGTGAGGTGACGTCCAGGCTGCAGGCAGGCAAGGTTTAGAGAGAGGCCAGACGCACATGGCTGGCCACTTGGGGCCACCCTGCCTGTCCTTAGCTGTCTGCCGCACTCCCAAATCCCTGTACTAACTGCAAAACAGCGAAACACTGAGAGAAGTTTTCCCCACTTTTTTTTTTTTTTTTTAAGATTTATTTATTTTACTTGAAAGAGTTCGAGAGAGGCAGAGGCAGAGAGGGAGAGAGGTCTTCCATCTGGAGCTGTGCCGATCCGAAGCAGGAGCCAGGAGCTTCCTCTGGGTCTCCCACGCAGGTGCAGGGCTCAAGCACTTGGGCCATCTTCTACTGCTTTCCCGGGCCACAGCAGAGAGCTAGATTGGAAGTGGAGCAACTGGGACTTGAACTGATGCCCATATGGGATGCTGGCACTGCAGGCAGCGGCTTTACCTGCTACACCACAGAGCTGCACCCCTGCACACACACACACACACACACACACATTTAATTAGACACACACCAGGTACCAGCCACAGCACTAGCACTTAAGTAAAATGCCAGAGTAGTGAGTGTTTAGACAGTTCTCAAAAATGCCATCATTCCTTCCTTCATTCATTAATTCAACAAATCCTTCTGCACCATACAGAAGGCTCTATGGCTCACACTCTGATGAGGTCAAATCCAGTAAGAGATGGCTGGAGAACATGGGGATATGGAGGAAGTTCCACTGGACTCCAACCAGGCAGATCAGGGAAGACTTCCTGGAGGAAGAGTTTTGGTTACTTCTACTTTACCCTGTTGGTGAGGGATGAATTCCAGCCTGGGGGTTACAGAGATGGTCAAATGCATACTTGACCCTGCACAGATGACATGCACAGCCAGGGGAGGAGGACCCTGTACCAGGCAGGGCCACACAGGGGTTGCACCTGGGGATGGAGGAACAACCAGGGGCCCTGGAGGCAAGCGTGGGAGTTAACAGCAAGAGAGGTGAGCCCTGTTCCTGCAAGAGGTGGGGGAACGGGCCTGTGTGATACCTCGGGCTACCAGCAAGCTGACACCCACTTCCCAGGGGTATGCAGGCACTACCGGGCCCCTGGGATCATCACAGGGGGCTGTGGCTCAGGGGCACTGTCCAATAAACAGAGTGGTCAGGGGGACTTGCACTTGGCGACTGGAGACCCCCCCCCCCCCCAGATTGTACCAGATGTCAAGGCACAAAGCAATAGTGAATCTCAGTTTCAGGCCTCACACTCAGGAGGTGATTGTGAAGTGGGTGAAGGATCAGGGCATCTGCAAAGGCCCGGGATGCCGACTCAGCGCTTCTGAAACTGCAGACGGCTCAGCCAAGCTACAGGACGGCACGGCAGCAGGGGCGCCAGGATGGTGCTGGCCAGAGAGGCGGGATGGCCGGGAAAGGCGCCTGCTCTCGGAGTCCAGAGAGGCGGGATGGCTGGGAAAGGCACCTGCTCTCGGAGTCCAGAGAGGCGGGATGGCTGGGAAAGGCGCCTGCTCTCGGAGTCCCGGCAGCTCCTCCCCTCCACTGCTGAACCTTGGTCGTGTCTTCATTTGAACAGAGAGAGACAGAGAGAGACAGAGAGAGAGAGAGAGAGAGAATCTTCCACCCACAAGTTCACTCTCCAAATATCCCCAACAGCCAGGGTTGGGCCAGGCCAAAGCCAGGTGCCAGGAAGTCCAGGCAGGTCTCACGGGTGGGTGGCAAGAACCTTAGCACTTGGGCCATCACTCACAGCTTTCCCAGCTGCATCAGCAGGAAGCTGGATTAGAAGCGGAGCAGCCAGGACTCAGACTAACGCTCCCATCTGGGATGTGGGCATCAGGCAGTGGCTTAACCCGCTGCACCATGAGGCCTGCCCCGCACCACGAGGCCTGCCCCGCCCCACGTCTTTGCTTGCTGAACATCTAGACAAGCAGGGGCTGGGTGGGAGGCTTACAAAGCTGGGTGCTGTGACGGTGTCCCTGGGTTTTGTGCAGGTTGAGGTGGACAGGGAAACAATGCAAAACACGGGCCGGAGGAGCCCCTGCTGTGGAGAGTGCAGCCTGCGAGAGGATGAGGGTCTTCAGCTGGCTTCCAGCCGCCTTCCATCCCAGGGAAGCCAAGCGCAGGCCCTGCCCTGCCCTGCCCTGCCCTGCCCTGCCCTGCCCTGGGTCGTCGGGGTCTCCCAGGTGGTTTTGTGCACCCTGAGTCTGAGAAGCGCTACTAACATGGCGACAGTTACCAGACTGTTCCTGTCGTGAAAACACAGTCGGCCCTGCCTATCATGGGGCCCACGTCCAGGGGCTGTGCGTCTGCAGATGAAACCAACGGCAGACGGAGAACACCTGGCGGAAAAAACCCACACCTCTACTGAACAGACTCTTCCTCCTGGTCATTATCCCCTAAACACTGTGCACTACAGCCTAAGGAGTATCTAGACAGAATTTGCATTGCACGGGGTATCATAAATAATCCAGAGATGATTCCACACCTCCGGGAGGCTGTGTGTAGGGTCTATGCAACACTGATATTTTTCACATTTTTCACTGGAGCTTCCTGGATCTGGGCAGCCACAGGGACTAGAACAATCCTGGTGGACACCCAGGCATGAAAAGGTGGTGAGTGTGAAGACGACGATAAAGACCTGTCTGACCTTCACGTTTCGGAGCCAGATCCAGGTTCTCCACTTGCTCTGAAGCCAGCCAGGGTGGGAGCAGGGGCACGGGTGCTGACAGGGGAGCAGCGGGACACTCAACGTGGGGCGTGAAGTCTCGGGCTGGGCGCTCCCTCCCCAGCCACACAGATGCTACCCTGCACGCTGCCTGCCTGAGCGCCACCCAGGCCCAGGCACTGACACAGCTGGCCACGGCAGCTCCGACCTTCCGAGGGACCACTGTCTGGGGCTCAGGTATCAAAGAGGACCCATGTTTTGCTTTGAGAAGCTCTTGCTGGGGCCAACTAAACTGTCCAGAAGCTTCCCAGTGCCAGTGATGAACAGAGTCCCCACACTGATGGCAGCGAGGGCACAGGATTTCAGGGTCACAGGAGAAATGAGATAAACCACGCAGAGGTCTGGATGCAAACCCTGAAAGCAGTTATGCTGAGCAAGGCGCTTTTCCTATGGCAGCAGGGCACGCCGCTCCCGGCTCATTTAGCACGCAGTTGGCAGTCCACCCCGACTGAGTGTTGACTGACAGCACGGAGACAGGGAGAGACTAGTTAATAGCTCTGCAGGGCAGTAACAGCTCCGGAAATTACCAAAAAGACTGCAGACAGATGAGCACAATGCGAGAAGGTTGATGAAGAAAACACCCTCTACCCCTCCCCAGTTTAAATGCTTCATCTGCACTCAGTACAACCATTTTAAAAAACATTTTATTCATTCATTCATTCATTCATTCATTATTTGAAAGGCAGAGAGAGAGAGAGAGAGGAGGAGGAGGAAGGGAGGGAGAGAGACACAGAGAGATATTCTATCTGCTGCTTCAGTCTCCAAGAACCCTTAATAGCCAGAGCTGGGCCAGGCCAAAACCAGGAGCCATGAACTCCATCTGGGCCTCCCATGTCAGCAGCAGGAACCCAAGTTCTTGGGCCATCACCTGCTACCTCCCAGGCGCATTATCACAGAAAGGTGGATCGGAAGTGGAGGTGTGGGACTCAATCCCAGGCACCCTGAGTAGGGGTGTGGGGGTCCCAAGTGGCAGCTTAACTCCCTGTGCCACTAGGCCTGTCCCTATTTTTTTTTTTTTTTTACATTTTAAAAATATACCACTCTATTGAGATGTCATTTACACACCATGCAAACTCACCAGTTTGAAGGATGGGTTTCACTACATCCACAGGTCTGAATCAGCACAATCTAATTTTAGAACATTTCATTGCCCTCCCAACTTCAGAAGCCTGGACCCATCAGCAGCTGCTCCTCATTCCCCCCCCAACACTCCCACCCCAGCCCTAGGCAACCACTAATCTATTTACCTGTGTCTGCAGATTCACATAAATGCAACCCTCCAGTATGTGATACAGGCATTCTTCTTCTTCTTTTTTTTTTTTTTTTTTGGTCAGGCATTCATTTAACTGACAGTCATACTTGCAATCAATCTCTTTCAACACTTCAAATGCAAACATTCTTCTTTACTTACATAAAGATGCAATCAAGCCATCAGAATCTGCAACATTTCCTACCAAAGAGAAGTAGACAAAAGGGCCTTCCTAGAGAGAAGAAGACATGCTCTGGGTTAGCATCACAACCACAGGATGGCACTGCAGACACGCAGACACTCCGCACGGCACGGCAGCACCCCAGGGCCTGCTCCCGGCAGGACCACCCCGCCCCACCCGCAGGGTGTGGTCCCCAGCCTGGCTACATGGACCTTGGAAATGGATATGCTCTAAGCCAGTGTACATAACCATCATATTTTCAATAATTGGCATCCTAAAATCAGAGATGTATTCTTTTTCTCCCTATTGTCGAAAGATACTTATCAGGCACCTAGCTGAGCCCAATACTGTGTGTTTTTAAATTACTCCTGACTGTACATATTTATGGGGTATATGTGATACATGGGTGGGGAACCCTTTTTCTGCCAAGGCCATCTGGATATTTACAACATCGTTTGTGGGCCTCACAATACTAGCAACTTAAAAATTAGCCTGCTGTCAACTCCGGAATTTAGAGTCCTTCCTGCGGTTGCCTTGGCGGGGACAAATGATTTTGCTGGCCCCATACAGCCTGCGGGCTGGCCATTCCCCACCCCTTCTGCGTACACAATGATCAATCAGGGCAGTCAGCATTTCTCCTCTCCTTAAACATGCAAAAGATGTTTTGCTTAATCTGTAATAATTCTACACATTTGAAAAATATTTATTTTAGGGGCCGGTGCTGCAGCGCAGTGGGTTAACGCCCTGGTCTGAAGTGCCGGCATCCCATATGGGTGCTGGTTCGAGACCCAGCTGCTCCACTTACCATCTGGCTCTCTGCTATGGGCTGGGAAAGCAGTAAAGATGGCCCAAGTCCTTGGTGCCCTGCATCCATGTGGGAGACCTGGAAGAAGCTCCTGGCTCCTGGCTTTGGATTGGCGCAACTCTGGCCAATGCGGCCAAATGGGGAGTGAACCATCAGATGGAAGACCTCTCTCTCTCTCTGCCTCTCCTCTCTCTGTGTAACTCTGACTTTCAAATAAAATAAATAAATCTTTTTTTTTTTTTTTTAAAGGTAGAGTGACAGGGAGAGAAGAGGAGGCTGAGATCTTCCATCTGGTAGTATTCCCATTTGTGAGGTACAATGTGGTAATTCTTTTCTTGTTTGTTCATTTAATTTGTCATGCAGGAAAAGACAGAGACAAATAGACAGACATATATATAGAAAGAGCTCTCATCCACTATTCCCTCCTCAAATACCCACAACAGCCAGAGCTGGGCCAGGAAGAAGCCAGCAGCCAGAAACTCAGAAACTCAATCTGGGCCTCCTACATTGGTGGCAAGGGCTCAAGCTGAGACACCACCTGCTGCCTCCCAGGGGATACATGAGCAGGCAGCTGGAACAGGCAGTGGAGCTGGAACCCGGACCTGGATATGGGATGCAGGCACCTTGAGCACCAAGCCTAATGCCCACCCGCCTCTCCAGCTCTGGATCGCTGTTACCCTTCCGGCAGCACACTGCTCCCTTCACCAGGCTGCCTCTTGGTGCCCTCCCAAACTCAAAGTCTTCCTACTCTCATGCTTCTAAAGTTCCTGTTTTCATAGGAGGGCTGCTTAAGACTTAGTCATGCAGGTGCAGACAGAACACAGTGGAAAACTGCAAGGCACGCAACCTGGGCATGCGCACAGGGAAAACCCAACCTACAGACTCAAAAACACCAGCATGACTGGAGTCTGAAGGCAGGAGCCCCCTGAGAAGCCAGGGCTCCGCTGCCCAGGAGACCCGGTGCTGGAGCCCATCCTACTAAACCTGGCTCCGAAGGGGCTGCATCGAGCCCCTCCAATCAGAACCTGCCTCGCCGGCGTCCCACCTGCAAGCGTTTCCTGCCTAACACACACAACTTGCCCAGACACCTGACCCCACCTCCTGCCTCCCTTCCTGGTCAGCCACACAAAGCTTTCCTATCCCCAAAGGGCGATGTCCAAGATTGATCGTTGAGGACTGGGCAGAGAACCGCCTCATTCACTAAATCTTTGCTATATGTTCCTTAAATGTGTACCTGCAGGAAACTGAAAATCTCAGCGCACTCCCTCATCAGTGCTGTGCAGTGCGCAGACTTCTAGGGAACCAGGAGAGATGAGAGCCCCTCGGGCCCCCTCCCTCTCCTGTCCAGGTGCGGCTCTCAGCCTCTGTCCACTTAGCCCGTGGTTGAGATGGATCACACTTGCACGCTTGTTCTGTAAACACATCCGTCTTCCCCATTCTGTCTCTAAGTGGATTCTAAAGCTGACACACCAATCAACAGCACTGGCAACACTGATTATGGAAACACAGCTCACTGCCCAGGGCCACAATTCCCTTCTCTACGGAGCCAGTATTTCAACTCCTAACACTTAAGGGAGAAGGTTTCAAATAGAATATTATTTCTTCCATGAATTTCTCAAAACCAAGCTGTATTTTAGTTTGTTTCATATTTGAGCCATTTTTTTTATCAGAATTTTTGTTTATCCTAGAGTTTACAAGTGTCTATTTTTTCCTGACAGAAGAGATCTGACTCACGAATATCTCTTAGTTTCTTTCCATTTTCTCTCTAAACAGAGTTTCAAGGGCCAGTGCTGTAACACATTGGGTAAAGCCGCTGCCTGAGATGTCAGCATCCCGTAGCAGCTCCGATTCATGTCTTTGCTGCTCCACTTCTGATCTAGCACCCCGCTAATGGCCGGGGAAAGCAGTGGAAGGTGGCCTAGGTGTTTGGGCCCCTGCTACCCAAGGGGGAGACCTGGATGAAGCTCCTGGCTCCTGGCTTTGGCTTAGCCTAATCTTGGTTGGCCATTGGGGAGTGAACCAGTGGATGGAAAATCTTTCTCTTTTTTCAAATAAATAAATAAATCTTAAAAAAAAAGTTTTCAAGCTGGATTTTTAAAAATTTTCGCTAGCGCCGCGGCTCAATAGCTAATCCTCTGCCTGTGGCACCGGCACCCTGGGTTCTAGTCCCAGTCGGGGCACCGGATTCTGTCCTGGTTGCTCCTCTTCCAGTCCAGCTCTCTGCTGTGGCCTGGGAGTGCAGTGGAGGAAGGCCCAGGTCCTTTGGCCCTGCACCCGCATGGGAAACCAGGAGAAGCACCTGGCTCCAGGCTTCGAATCAACGTGTTGCGCCGGCTGCAGTGGCCATTGCGGGGTGAACCAAAGGAAAAGGAAGACCTTTCTCTCTGTCTCTCTCTCACTGTCCATTCTGCCTGTCAAAAAAATTTTTTTTCTTGACATTCTTGGAAAATGTGGTTTATCTAAGCATATATAAAAATTATATCCCGAGGTTGGTGTTGTGGCGTAATGAGTTAAGTCACGCCTGCAATGCCAGCATCGCATAAGGGTCTTTAGGTCCCTATACCCACCTGGAAGACCTGGATGAAGCTCCTGGCTCCTGGCTTTGGACTGGCCCAGCCCCAACCATTGCGGCTATTTGGGGAGTGAACCAGCGGATGGAAGACCTCTCTTATCTCTCCCTTTCTCTCTGTAACTCTGCCTTTCAAATAAACAAAATAAAAAATATTTTAAAAACATTATATCCTTTAAGAGTTTTTAAAAAATTATGAGACAGATAGCTATGTTTTTACACAAATAGGAACTCCCAGTCCACTTACTGTGCAACACTTTAGTCTCACCAGCCAATTTTTTATTTTTAGCATATCCATAGTGGAAAATCTATACCACTTCCTTGGCTTGGCCTGGGAACTTTCTGGACAAAGCGCATCCACTGGGTTGCCAGTTAAGGCAATGGGACAAGGTTGAGTCTGATCCTTCCGAGGCCTCAGGACATCTGCGTGTAGAAGAAAGAGTCCCTAAGATTAGATGGTAGATCTCATCCTAAAACTAGATCCAACTTCCGCTAGCAACCTCTCCAACATGACCAAATAGCAAAACATGTGTTGTGACATGGGGCTGAGGACTTTCCCTCAGAAGCAACTCCAAGGGTAAGAACAAGATGGGGACCTGGAAACTGGGGACACGCAGGGACCTACACGTCTGTTACAAAGTCGTCTCCTATCTCCACCTGCTGAAGCTATGCTTAGTTCTCAAATCCCAGATCTCATCTATCCCCCCTCCTTCTTTAAGATTTATTTTATGTGAAAGGGAGAGTGACAGAAAGGGAGGGAGAAGAGGGATGAAGGGGATAAGAGAGGTAGAGGGACACAGATTTTCCATCCACTGGTTCACTCCCCAGAGGGCTGTAATGGCTGGGACTGGACTAGGCCGAGGCCAGGAGCCAGGAACTCCACCCAGGTCTCCCACGTGGGTGGCAGGGGCCAAAGTCTTTGGACCATCTTCTGCTGCTTTCCCAGGTGCATCAGCAGAGGATTGGATGGGACCAGTGCTCAGATACGGGATGCCAACATCGCTAAGCTGCTATGCTACAACACCAGCCTCCAAATCCCCCTTCTTCCAAGGAAACTTCCCAGAGCTGGTAGTGAGGAACAATTTCTCACTCTCATGTAACTCCCACATTGTAAAGCTGTGTTTCTGCAATCACCGGTTGTCTGCTAGTGATGGTTTTCCAGCTCCCACTGGGGCGTGCGTCTCTGGGACCTGGAATATTGTCATTTCTACCTTGGGATCCTCTGGACCCCAGGTGACAGCTCATGTTCTGAGTCTGTTGACCCTGAACTGACAACTGAACATAATGCATTGGTTTAAAAGACGGCTGCCCTGATGAAGTATTTAGAATGCACTATGAGTTTATTACATTAATGTCCTAAATGTAAAGGCAGAGTGTGTGTGTGTGTGTGTGCGCGCGCGCGCAGTGTAATGACTATATCTATGCCTTCAAACGCTGACAGATCAGATGACATCGCCTCCAAAAAGAATGATTTCACTTCCTCCTCCCTGCCCCCAACAGCCCATTCCCACAGGCACAGTCTGTCTTTTCTGTTTTCCAAAATGGCTGATGACTACATGTTTACTAAAAGATTAAGAGATAAAAACAGGAAACAAGAGGGGCATGTAAAATAAGAGAGTTAAGGGAAAAAAAAATCTCAGATCATCCAATTAGAAAATGGATAAGTGAAATGACAAGACATTTCATCAAACAGGATATACAGATGGCAAATAAACACACAAAAATATGCTCGATGCCATTAACCACCAGGGAAATGCAAACTGAAACCACAGTGAGATACTACCACGGGACTATCAAAGTAGATAAAATAAAAAGTACTGGCAACACCAAATGCTGGCGAGGATTTGGAGAAACTGGACCACTCACGCTGCTGGTGGTCAAAGTGGCACGGCCACCCTGGAAACTAAAATTCAGCAGTTTCTTCTAAAGCTAACTCTGCAGGGACCATATGATCCAGAAACCGGTCACTGGAGTGCTTATATTTTGCAAACATCAAAACTCAGGTTCACATGAAAACATGTCCACAAATGACCATGGCAACTTGACTGGTCACAGCCAAACACTGGAATGTCCTTTGTGGAAACAAAAGTAAAGATGGCTGCACTTCGGCCAAGAGGGTTACAGCTGCTCTGAGCCTCAGAGGTCACATCTGACAGGGACTGCACCTGCCTCACAGATACAACTCCCTCAATCTGTAATGTCCGGATTGTAAATTAGACAGACTGCAAGTCCTAACCATGGGACTTCTGATGACCAGCTGCTCACCGACACCCCGTCCCACCCCACCCCCAGCAACCGGTCCTGTATGGCAGAGCGCACACACCAACCCGAACTCACTCAGAACAGCCCATGTCACTGAAAGGGCCAATCAAAAATGCCTCAGAACAAGATGCTTCATTTCACCCCACTGTCCCCTTTTTTTTTGACAGGCAGAGTTAGTAAGAGAGAGAGACAGAGAGAAAGGTCTTCCTTTTTCCGTTGGTTCACCCCTCAATGGCCGCTACGGCTGGTGCACTGCGGCCGGCGCACCGCACTGCTCCAAAGCCAGGAGCCAGGTGCTTCTCCTGGTCTCCATGCGGGTGCAGGACTCAAGCACTTGGGCCATGCTCCACTGTCCTCCCGGGCCACAGCAGAGAGCTGGACTGGAAGAGGGGCAACCGGGACAGAATCTGGCACCCCCACTGGGACTAGAACCCTGTGTGCCGGCGCCGCAGGTGGAAGATTAGCCAAGTGAGCCAGCAGCGCCAGCCCCCCTTTCTTCTTGAAAAACAAAAACCGGGCCGGCGCTGCGGCTCACTAGGCTAATCCTCCGCCTTGCGGCACTGGCACACCGGGTTCTAGTCCCGGTCGGGGTGCCGGATTCTGTCCCGGTTGCCCCTCTTCCAGGCCAGCTCTCTGCTGTGGCCAAGGAGTGCAGTGGAGGATGGCCCAAGTCCTTGGGCCCTGCACCCCATGGGAGACCAGGATAAGTACCTGGCTCCTGCCATTGGATCAGCGTGGTGCACCAGCCACAGTGCGCCGGCCGCGGCGGCCATTGGAGGGTGAACCAACGGCAAAAGGAAGACCTTTCTGTCTCTCTCTCTCTCTCTCACTGTCCACTCTGCCTGTCAAAAAAATAAATAAATAAATAAAATAAAATAAAAACAAGTCCTTCTTCCCTTCAACAGAACACTTGTTTGGTTTCTAACTGAATCTGTGTATCTTGAGTGGCAAATTTATTTTGTATCTGAATAGAAACTGTTTTTTAATTCAATTTTGTTTATACTTTTTTTTTAAGGCAGAGTTAGAGAGAGGGAGAGAAAAGAGATCTTCAATCTACTGGTTCACTCCCCCAAATGGCCGCCATGGGCCAAGCTGAGCCCAGGCTGTAGCCAGGAGCTTCTCCAGGTCTCCCACATGGGTGCAGAGGCCCAAGCACTTGGCCATCTTCCACTGACTTCCCAGGTGCATTAGCAGGGAGCTGGATTGAAAGTGGAGCAGACGGGACTCGAACTGGTATGTGGGCAACACATGTGGAGGCTGCAGCGCCATCCCCTTGGTTTACACCTTCAATGGGTGAATGAATGATTAAAAAACAAGCCTATGTATACCCTGGACTACTCAGCCATGACAAAGAACCAGCTATGGATACACTGGACAACTCAGATGCATCTCCATGGAACTGAGCTGGGAGACAAAGCTAACCCCCAAGGAGACCGTGATACATATTGGCTTGAAATGATACATTTTAGAAACGAAGGACATATGCCAGGGTCAGTAGCAAGGAGTGTGTGTTGGGGGAGCCTGAGTGTAGTTAACAGAAGGAGAAGCACCAGGGATCCTTGTGGTACTTGAATGGTGTGGTATCCTTTTACAAACCTAAACAAAAGCTCACAGAAGGCACTTCTGCATTTGTGCAGGTGCACGTAGGTGTACACACAGGTAAAACCGGAAAGCCTGAATCCAGAGATCAGTGGCGGTCTCAGTGTCCACATTCCAGCTGTGCCTACTGCAGTGCTGTATAGTGCTCCTGAAACCACCTACAATAAAGACATCTGCTCCTCGACCCCGGAATCGTTGTCTTTGCTGTCTGTTGAAGGTCCCTGATACAACCAGATAGCCGCGGCTGCAGCCAGCTCTGTAACCCGAGCTGCACAGATAGATCAGTGGAACCCGGGAGTTCCCTGGGGTTCATGTTGGAGGTCCAGAGGCCATCCTAGAACATGCGCACTACGCAGAGGGGCAGGATCTGTTAACCGCGTGCTCTTGGGGATCTTTTCTGCCCCTTCCCTCCACACCCTCTTGTTCTGTCTCCTAGTTGCCTTCAAGGCACGCCAACTAACTGCAGTAAACTCCCAAACCCGCCCTCAATGGGGACGCTGATTCTGGTTTTGATGTTATTTGCCCCTTGTGATCAGAGTAAACATTTCCTTTTCAGCAGAGGAACTCTGCTTTTATTACAACAGCGGTGTGTGCGTGAGTGGGCCAGCCGTCGGGGAACCTGGGCAAAGCCTACGGGAAACTATTACTTCTGGGGCCAGCACCGTGGCTCACTAGGCTAATCCTCCACCTGTGGCGCCGGATTCTGTCCCGGTTGCCCCTCTTCCAGTCCAGCTCTCTGCTGTGGCCCGGGAAGGCAGTGGAGGATGGCCCATGTGCTTGGGTGCCTGCACCCGCATGGGAGACCAGGAGGAACTACCTGGCTTCTGGCTTTGGATCGGCGCAACTCCAAATGTAGCGGCCATTTGGGGGGTGAACCAATGGAAGGAAGACCTTTCTCTCTCTCTCTCTCAAAAAAAAAAAAAAAGAAAAAAGAAACTGTATTACTTCTGACAACTGCATGCAAGCTTATTATTATCTCAAAACACAAAATTAAAAAACCAAAAACCAGGTAGAGAAAGACATGGGCGAAAGAACGAAAGAATAACATTACTAATTAAATGACACTTTCTTTTTTTAATAGCAATTTCCAGGACTTTTCTTCTTTGTTTAGAGTAGGCAGGCCTCTGGCCTCGGAAAGCTCATTATCTAGGTGGACAATTTCACAAAGGTTGGAGGAGGATGAGCGAGTTGGGGCAGTGAGGGGAGGCTTCCGAGGGAGGCAGGCGGTGAGCTGGGCCTCGGTGGGCAGTGGAGAGGGAGGACGGGCAGGGAGGCAGGGCGGTGGGAGACCTGGCAGTCGGGGCTCCGCGCTGCCCAGCACTGGCCGGGACTCAACAGCATTAAGCATCATGCAACCACCACCACGTCTACCTCGGGAAGCGCCCATCCTGCCAAACCAAAATCCTGTACCCACTAAACAGTAATTCCCCACCCCTCACCCGGCCCCTGGCAACCACTGTTTCACTTTCTCTGAATTTCACTACTCTAGTACCCCCCATAGCTGGAAGTCACACAGTGTCTTTCTGCCTCTAGCTTGTTTCACTTAGCACGGCGTCCTCAAT